TATTTTAGGGACTATAGAACGCCCATCCCGTACATTTTTAGTTACTCACATTTTAAGAATATAATGGTGTACTCGTGTACTATCAGAGGCGGACTGGCAGATATGAATATGATAGGCTATGGTTCATCAATATAAATATTCATCATGTTTCATCTATATGCTCAGGGCTATATAACCACAAGTCCACAGCTGAAAAAATTATCCCTCAACAGTTTGGTAAATATTGTGACACTCATAATTTTTTCGTTTAAAATACAAAAACGTTTTGTTCTTGTTATTACTTATTACTGCTCCAACGAAAATATATAAATTGTTTTTTATTATTATTATATTTATTMAAAAATAAAAATGATGTATTTTCAAAAACCTCTGAAGAATAAATAACAGAATTATGAAATTTATTTTTCATTTTGGACTAAAATAATTAAAATCTGTTAGATGTTAGATATCTCTTAAAGCATGATGTAGAGAAGGTCTTCTCTACKTCGGGTATCGTGGCAAGGGGCGCTATCTCGTAATAACTTTTTAGATTTTGATACATGAATATCAGCGTATAGTTAATCAAATTTTCAATGTTTGACCGTTTTGAGGTTTGACGACGTACTGATAAAAACCGAAAAAAAATAAACCATAATATTAATAATATTATTCCGTATCCGTATCTGTATTCTACAACTACAACTTGTCATTTGTTCGTCAGTTCGACCAGTTCGTCTCGTAAAGCAAACATTTATTTTATTAATTCAAATATATTTATTTAAAATCAGTGTGACAGTGTGTACAGGTGGTGCCTTGTAGATGGTTCACAGATTATGACAATATTGCATACGAATTACGAACTAGTTATTGGCTGTTTGGATTATACTTCATATATAAACGCTCTGAAAGTAGATACCTGATCGAGAGACGAGAATAATTAATAATATAACGATATTAATGTTGTTTTATTCTTGTAATAAGACTGTAACTTTTGTTTCCCAGGSACAAAGTTTCTTCGAAAATGGTGGCCAGAGGAGGAAAAACGAGATTAATTGGTTTCGTTTGCATGGTTTTGGTTTTTTCGGCGGTGCTTTACGTGTTTCATGAAACACAAGTGGAATTAGATGGTGTCCGTAATTCTGCTTCCTCTTGTACACATCAGCTTGAGTCTATATCGTCTCAGTTACAAGGTACCGTATTTGTTGATCAGTTATGTTTTATATAATTTACAATTATTTCATAGTTATCGTTGAACATAAATTGAAATTGGAGAGGTCATTAGAAGATGAAAAACGTGAACATCTAAAAACCAAGGAGGACCTCAATGCAGTAATTCAAGATGAGAAACAGTTGCGTGATAAACAAAATGTCGACTCTATGAATCGATATAATGAGATTGAAAGAAATCATGAAGTATTACAGGTAGAATATATTTTTGTAACATGTCTAGAAGTATTACAAACAATAATGTCAGTATAGTTCTTCAAGTTTGAATATACTTTAGATTAATAACTTGCATTATTAAATTATTCTGTTATGTTTTAATGGTCATTTAATTAATCAAATTTACTTATTAGGTACTTATAACAGGTACTTATTTAGTAGGTACTTGAAAAAAAGCAATATTAGTTGTACAATAACAAATTAGTTTTATTATTATAACAATTATTAGTCAATTACTATTTAGTATTTACCATACTAACATTTCAATTGTATTTTCATGAATGCTTTATTTGTTATTTATCAAAACTAATTTTATTTTCATCAATTAATTTTAGGTTTTTGGTTAAGTATAATAAATAAGGATTGGGCAA